GCCTTTGAATAAGACAGTATGGTTGAGAGCCAGAAGCAACACCAGCTGGAAAAGAAAATGAGAAATTTGTTCTTTCAAGAAATGGTTTTCAAACTGGGGTGCATGGTGAAAGAGCTTGGAAATTTACACCAGAAGCTTAAAATGACAAAGTGTAAACAAAGGTTGCACTTACCTGAAAAACCAGGTCCTCAATTCAGACGTAGCTGTGATATGTAAAGATTAACTTGCAGACTAAAGCCAGGGGCACAGTTAGATGACTGAACCAAGATGGAACTTAGGAGTCCATGGGGTGTGTGTGAAGGAACTCAAGGTTGCTGAGAGGTGTAGTTCAGTGACATCTGGAGAAGTCACCAATGATTGACTTGCTTCTTTCCACTATGGGCTCTAGATTCCATAGGGGGAGGATACACTGGCTATGCCTGCTCTAGACATTATGAGTGAGAGACGTGGAGGAGACATAGGGCTGCTCTTTCTGGTCTAATGAACTTAACTTAATATCCCTGTGAAGTCAGAAAAATAATCCCATTGTGCTACAGCAGGGTTGGTGAATCTCTGGACTGTGGGCCAGATTTGACCTGGCTTGGGTCGCAATTTGGCCTGTGAAGTCATTTCCTCCAAACCATGCTCACCTGTCCCGCACATGGTGTCATGTATGACATCAGGTATGAGGCAGAGAGAGATGCAGTCGAATTGGCTGCATGAATAATTCCCCCATGGAGAACTTGATTGGGCAGCTGCTCCTTGCAGAAACCACCAGTGGATTGGTAGCTCTTCAAAGCACCATTTAGGACCATTTGCAAGCTTTGTGTGGTGCTCTAAAGTCCAGTGATCATCGTGTTGTGTCAAGTGATTGGCAGATGTGCAGCCCCTCCCACATGTCAAATTTGGCCTGCAAAGGGTAGGGGAGATAAGATTCTGCCCCACTGGCCAGATTAGATCCCTCCCTCCCCTGACTTAGAACATCATATATTGAAATGGTTAGTTTTCAAGTTGGAATCAGCGAAAAAACTCTGTAAACACCTATAAATCCTTAAGAGCTTTTAGTCGTGTGTTTCTCTCTCTCATGCTAAGTGCTACTCCATAGCTTCAGTCCCTTCCTTGGCTGCAAATGTCTTGGGAACTGAGCTTGTTTTTAATCATAACATGCTTATAAGTTCATGAGGTCTTCCCCAAGCATTCAACCTCAATTACCTTGGCTCACCACTCACCTCTTATGGTACACTTGTTGCCAACTTAAGACGACAAGAAGAGCCCTACTGGTGGGCAGCAAATTGAGTAAGAGGCAACCCCTACACTTACCCAACCCCAATGCACCCCCCCAAAGTATCTGCTTGTCTACTGCTCCATGTGGTTGACAGGCAGAAAAACAAAACCACCAGAGCAGCAAATGGGTGGATCTTGTGTTTCTTCCTCTACCACTGCACACACATTTCCTCCAAAGTCATCCAAAGCAGCTGCCTGCTGCTTGCTCCATGAAGCCAGTGGGCAGCAAAGCAAACGGGAGGCAAATAGGCTCAGGCACTTTTTCTCTCCCCGCCTTTTTTCAAAAAGCCCCTCCATGGGCAAGAAAGCTTATTCCCTTCCCCTTTTCAATAAGCCTTTCAACGGGCAGTAAAACAAACAGAAGACAAACAGGCACTGCACTTCTTAGCTCTCACCCCTGTTTCAAGAAGTCCTTCCATGAAAGACAAAACAGAGGAGGCAGAACAACCTTGGTACTTCCCCCTACTTCAATATCATCCAAAAACCCAAAGGGCTGGCAACTATCCTACCTTTTCTCTCCTCTCCAGTTTTGTCCCACAACAGCTGCCCAGGCAAATCCTTCCATACAGAAAGGAAGGAAGGGAGGAGTTAACATCATAACCAATTGGAGACGGATGGGCCCTTCCAGTTTCAGCAAGTGCTCTGTGCTGTAGAGCCAGAGGAAGCATTGTACTCATCCATCTTCTTGGGTTGGGTTAGTGACTCCTGGCCCACCAGGTTGCTTGCACATTAGGCTTCATACTTTTCTTTCTAGAAGGGCTAGAGACTTACTGTTTTAAAATGAAAGCTTAGAATCTGGGACCCTGCTGGCATGACTTCTTCTGCAATTGCTCCAATTGCACCATTACAAATCTGGCCCTGTTAGGACCCCGGGGAATGATGAGGGCAACATCCACTGCTCCACTCACTGGCCCTGCCCACCACTAGCAGGCAACCCTTGGAAAGTTGCCCCAAGGGAAAGCAGCTGCTGAGGTAAGAATGTTCAACGTCTCTGGCTGAAAGCAAAAGTCAAGACAAATCGGGACTCTTAAGGGGAAAGTTCAGTGGAATTTTTTGGAAGGTGGAAGAATCTGATCAAGACTTGAAAAATGTCTGGGCAAAAGGAGAGCAGGTGCTAAGACTCCTTTAACCCTCATCCTTACCAGAACTTCGCCCCCTGCAAATACTATTTTGCAAAACTTCTCATTCCCATCAGCCTTGTTTGTGTAGAAGAGGGCAACCAAGATGATCAAGGGTCTGGAAACCAAGCCTAATGAGGAACAGTTAAGGGAATTGGGTATGTTTAGTTTGGGTAAGAGGAAACTGAGAGGAGATATTGATAGCTGTCTTCAAATATATACCGTATTTTTCGTCCTATAGGGCGCACCGGCCCATAGGACGCACCTCGTTTTTTTGGGGGGGGAAATGAATAAAAAAAATTATTTCCCCCCCAGCCGCGGCTGCAGCCCCAAGCCTTGCGCACACCTGTTTCGGGCGGGCGCGCAAGGCTTGCGGACACCCGCCTGAAGCACGGGGCGCCCTCCGGAGGGCTCCCTGTGCTTCGGGCTGCAGGCTGCCGCCCCAAGCCTCGCGTGTCTGGCGGGACCTCCTGCCGGGCGCGCAAGGCTTGGGGACACACGCCTGAAGCACGGGGAGCCCTCCGGAGGGCGCCCCATGCTTCGGGCTGCAGGCTGCTGCCCGCAAGCCTTGTGAGCCCGCGGGAACTCCCGCCGGGCTCGCAAGGCTTGCGGATAGCTTCCTGAAGCCTGGAGAGCTAAAGGCATCGGTGCGCACTGACCCCTTTCACTCTCCAGGCTTTAGCGAAAGCCTGCATTCGCCCCAAAGGACGCACACACATTTCCCCTTCATTTTTGGAGGGGAAAAAGTGCATCCTATGGGGCGAAAAATACGGTAAATGGCTGTCACATGGGAAGATGGAGGAATCTTGTTTTCTCCTCAACCAATGGCTTCCAGTTATAAGAAATTCTGACTAAACATCAGGAAGAACTTTCTGACACTAAGAGCTCTTTGACAGTGGAAGAGACTTCCTTGGGAAGTGGTGGACTCTCCTTCCTTGGAGGTTTTTAAGCAGAGGTTGGATGGCCATCTATCATGGATCCTTTAATTGAGATTTCTGCATTGCAGGGGGTTGGATGAGATGACCTCAGGGTCCCTTCCAACTCTACAATTCTATGATTCTGTGATTCTATACTTTGTACATTTAAAATGGACTCAGCCTAGCAAATATGGGTTCTATTACTTTTACTGAGCAGGCTTCACCGCAAGAGAGATGAAGTTTTGCAATCTTCCACAAGCTCAACACTTTCCTCCAGATTTTACTGGACACCGAAGGGCTATATTTCCTCCTCGACATGAATGCTCTTCATTCTTGTTCATTTCATTCATTCATATATTTCATTGATTTTTATATGATCAATATTCTCCATTTGAAACCTCTCTGTGCAACTATTAATCTCCCAATAAAAATGGTGCATGGCGGAGATTGCCTGTTGTTCTCCAGAATAGCGGACATTTGGCAAGGGGTGGGGAACCATATCCAGAGCTACTCTGAAGCCGTTTCTATCCAGTGCATTTGTAGTCTAAGTTAGAAAGAAGAAAGAAATTCAGCACCAATGTAATGCAAATCCTACACAAAGCCAGGTTCCATTCTGCAATTTGCTTTAACTGCATTTTCCCTCTTGTTTTGCTAAATGTATCCTGCCATTTTTATTATTTTCTAGTTTCTACTAGGCACATGGAAAGGCATGATACATAAAGTACTAGATACATAAAGATGTTGTTGCTGTTGGCATCTATCTGCGTTGTGGGACAATGGAAGAGTGTGTCTTTGGGGGTAACTGTCAGAGAGTTACAGCGCCTGTTGTGGCTGTAGAGACCAATAAATATAGCCCCTTGTATATTAAACATTTCAATCCATAGGCACAAACTCCTAGGGGCTGAGGTCCCTTTGCCCCTGCCAATAAAATATTTGACCCCCCAAGTTGATGGGCATTGCCACTCAAACGGTGTGCATGTGCCACATCTTTTGATTGATTATGTGAGGCAGGGCTTACCTGCCCTCAATTTTGAATTCATGTTGACCCCCCTGCTACAATGCCATGTTTTTTTGCAGCACACATGAACTCATGGTTGGGTTGATTGGAGTTACTCCAACAGAACAATTTGGCCCTTAAATCACATTGTATTTACTCCTTTCCTGAGTAGTTCAGTTCAACCCTACCAGATGACCCAAAAGCTAAATTAAGGGGGGGGGGAGCAGGTGAGTTTCATTTTCTGGGTTGTTGCATTGTGCTTCTATTCTTTTGACTCTTGTCGACTTGACAACAGCACAGACTCTGGCTCACACATTTGGGTATGTTCTTTAATTAGTAAATCGATTAAAAGCAAAACCGTGCAAACAGGATGAGAGAGATTCTGTGGGATGAAGTTCTAGGTTTAGATTTTTTATTTTTTATTTTTTTTAAAAAACAGCAACAGATTTGTCTCTTCCTTCAAACTGGAACAAAAAGGGACCCAGAGCAGAGTTTTGGCAGTTGTCTGCTGTATGGTACCAGCAGGCAGAATGTACGGAGGCCCTTTTGATATAAAGTTACCAGGCTGTTCAGTTATCGATCTATCTCATACACAGAAAGATTCAAGGCTAACAACAAGAACAAGAACAATTAACGTTAATATCGAAATCAGCTGGTGAGTGCTGACAGGATTGTAGCCAAAATGGGACCAACTGAGAAACAATACTCCAATACTTTGGCCACCTCATGAGAAGAGAAGACTCCCTGAAAAGACCCTGATGTTGGGAAAGATGGAGGGCACAAGGAGAAGGGGACGACAGAGGATGAGATGGTTGGACAGTGTTGTCGAAGCTACCAGCATGAGTTTGACCAAACTGCGGGAGGCAGTGGAAGACAGGAGTGCCTGGCGTGCTCTGGTCCATGGGGTCACGAAGAGTCGGAGATGACTAAACTAATAAACAACAATGAAAAACAAGAGGGAAGTTATTGGCACGCTCAGGGGAAATCCTCAAGGTTTGCAGACGTACCACCCACCTGTATGTATACAGTGGTACCTCGGGTTAAGTACTTAATTCGTTACGGAGGTCCGTACTTAACCTGAAACTGTTCTTAACCTGAAGCACCACTTTAGATAATGGGGCCTCCTGCTGCTGCCACACCGCCGGACCACGATTTCTGTTCTCATCCTGAAGCAAAGTTCTTAACCTGAAGCACTATTTCTGGGTTAGAGGAGTCGGTAATCTGAAGCGTATGTAACCCGAAGCGTGTGTAACCCGAGGTACCACTGTACAGACATATATAGGGGTGGGGGGAGGAGAGGAAAGCAATGAAGGGATTTGAACATGTGAAAATCCTGGCGCTGATGGGACACGTTGGTTGACTACCACACATTAACAAGGACAGCAGACACAACAACAACAACAACAATTATTATCATAAAAGCAAATTTCCTTACGCAGAGACATGGCACACAGTAACTTTTTAAAAGCAGCGTCCAAGTTGATCCCAAATGTCAGGAACAACAGGACTTGGCATTTTTATAGCTCTTGAGAGCCTTCAAAGCACTTCAGAAACATTAGCTGCAGACATCCTTTCCACCACATTGCAAGTGTAATTATCCTTGTGTAGCAGATTTTAGAGGAGGTAGGGGAGGAGGTTTGCTTAAGTGGAGAAGCATCACTTTGCATGAGGCCACTGAGTGAGTTCACAGCAGTGGCAAATGCTGGATTGTAGAAGTTCCTGGTCATAGGTCAGTTTTAGACACTATGGCCGTGCATTCCTCACTTCCCAGTTTTTGTTCCCAGGTTTTGTTCCTGCTGAATAATTAGTAGATGCTTTTTGGTATAGAAACTCAAATAGCTAATTTACAGAGAATATCTGAAATGGAGCATCTGTAGCTCTCTTCAGCCCCCCCCCCCAAAAAAAAATATGTGTGAGGACACATGTGTGCCACTCATGCTTCCAATATCCTTGTGGGTGCCATCCTGCTCCCTCTTCTCCTGACCTTTTATGGATTGGGGACAAAGGTCTGCAGGGGACAAAGGTCTACACTGTTTCTCAGTGTATTCTACTGACCCAGTTAGCACCCATACATTTAAAGCACTCTTAAACCACTTTAGCAGTCTTGGCTTCCTCCAAAGTATCATGGGAACTATAGTTCTTTTTAAACCTGAGTTTGAGTCTGGACTAAGGATTCTGAGCTCCTGTGTTCTGATTCGATACATGAGATCCAATCACAGAACATTTCAGGATTTGGGCCCCTGCCACTGGCCCTTAAACTCTGAGTCATGATTTGCAGCTTGGAAGTTTAGACAGCCAATCACGTTGGGAGTGGGAGTGGCCCAGGCCTTCAGAAATGTATATAAGCAGTTGCTTTGTCCCTGTTGTCCAGTTCTGTTAGTTCAATAAAGGTTCTTGCTGTTATCACTGTGTCTTGCCTCGTGGGAACCTACCTACATTTCATCGACCCCCACAGACCTACAATTTACAGAACTATTACATACCCTCCAAAGCTTTGAAGCCAAAAGCTGGGACACCACCCTCCTGGATGCCAACTTCCCATTTTTCATTGTGAGAGAATAGTGGCTGTTTTGGTTGCCATGATTTTGCATTTGGTTTTTTGAACATAGCATTAAGAATGCTTTCCATTCATGAATTTTGTTTGTTTGTTTGATGATGATGATCACCATTATTATCCTCCCTTCACCCTAAGTCCCTAGAGGGTTGTGACAATTTGGAATGCAACATTAGAAAACAATTTGAAATTGTTTAGTCACAGAAATAAGGTGGGTCCTGAAACTAAATTTCTCAGGTGTTGAAGACCTGAAACTGTTTCATCCTTCTGGGTACAGTGGTACCTCGGGTTACATACGCTTCAGGTTACAGCCTCCGCTAACCCAGAAATAGTGCTTCAGCTTAAGAACTTTGCTTCAGAATGAGAACAGAAATTGTGCTCTGGCAGTGCGGCAGTAGCAGGAGGCCCCATTAGCTAAAGTGGTGCTTCAGGTTAAGAACAGTTTCAGGTTAAGTACGGACCTCCGGAACGAATTAAGTACTTAACTCGAGGTACTACTGTATATGGATGAAATTATGGGGCAGTGGGGTGGGATGGGGAACCCAACCATGCATTACCCAGCTCTCTTTTAAATAGACCCAATCACTGATTTATCTAGCCCTTTGTATTTTAAGCGACACTTCTGAAATTAAAAGCGCCTGCAGCTTGAATAAAATGCAGAGAAAGACCAGCTCCGCTATCAGCTAGAGGAATCACATTAACATGGAAAAGAGTAGATCTGGGCCATCTGTTGCTGAGTGGTTGAATCGATGTCTGGCTTAGCAGCATATGAAAGAGAGACGTACAGTTCAGACTGCAGAACAGGGCTGGTATTTCGGGTGACATCTGGATGCTTTTTATCAATGATATAAACAGAAATTCTGGGGGAACAACAAACTGTTAGTCACGAGCACTTTAAATATCGACAGACACAAGATCATAAAATTAAAGCAAGTAACTGGCCCAAATGGATTTGTATGCGTGTGCGATGTTACAGTATATATATATATATATATATATATATATATATATATCTGCAAAACAGGGTTGTGGTGACATTTTGAGAGCCATTCAAGGCATCCAGGAAACAGTGACTTTGACTGGTTTGCACATTGATTTTCATCGCTCTTTGACGGCAGCGTCAAGTGATGATTTGCATGTGTGAATGAGAAAGAGAACTTTCGTAGCATCTGATGCCAACGCATGCATTTGGCTCAGGTTCATGAAGGAACGTAGAGGTGTGTGATCTATCTTTCAGGCATAACCGGATATTATTAGAGGTTGGTGGTTGCTTCTGAACTGGCGGTCTCAAATCTCCTCATCCTCCCACCCTACCCTCCAACAGTTACTTGTATCTGGTAACTGAGCACCTAGATTCACTTGAGAATGAAAGATATATTAACCACAACTGAGTCCATGGCATTCAATAGAGAAGACAAGATTCACATTAGTCCCACCCACCCTGCAATGAAGAAATATTAGATGCCTGAACAAAATGTTATTGCAATTAGCATCCTGGAACTGGTAATGAAAAGCTGGCCATGATAAAAATCCATTCCAATTATTTGACAGAAAGTGTCACTGCGGTAGATGTGCAGCTACGAGAGCATTAGTAGAAACCAGAAGTAGCAGCTTACCTTCTGAGGCTTCTTAGCACATGAGTGTGATGAATTTCTATTTCCACAATGGTGGCCTGGGAACCACATCTCCCCCACCAACCAATTTTATTTCATTTCTATCAGCTGTGTCAATATTGAATGTGTGGTAAAAAGCATGCCCACAGTTGTATTCCTCAGGAAATAGGTGGGGGGATCCAAATGGTAAGGGACAGAAATATGCCTGACCACTTGCATAAATGGGGTTTTGCATCTTTATTGCCAAATGGAGTCTAGCTGCTGCTGAAGGGTGGAGCGCCTCAGATTTAAAGCAACGCATTGCCTAGTCTTTGGGCCAGTGCTTAGATAATATACAGGCAACTCCCCATTTAAGTGGGGGTTATGTTTCGAGGTGAAGGGACGCAGGTGGCGCTGTGGGTTAAACCACAGAGCCTAGGACTTGCCGATCAGAGGGTCGGCGGTTCGAGTCCCTGTGATGGGGTGAGCTCCCATTGCTTGGTCCCTGCTCCTGCCAACCTAGCAGTTTGAAAGCACGTCAAAGTGCAAGTAGATAAATAGGTACTGCTCCGGCAGGAAGGTAAACGGTGTTTCCGTGTGCTGCTCTGGTTCACCAGAAGTGGCTTAGTCATGCTGGCCACATGACCCGGAAGCTGTATGCTCGCCTCCCTCAGCGAGATGAGCGCCGCAACCCCATAGCCAGTCACGACTGGACCTAATGGTCAGGGGTCCCTTTACCTTTACCTTACGTTCTGAGGCACCGTGAACAGGAGAATCCTGGTGGTGGAAGATTCCCTTTCAGGTGGAGGATTCTAAACACATTCACCCTTCCAGTTCAATGTGTTTAGGGTGTTGGGAGTGAGGCTGCTTACAGCAGGAAATCCCTGTTAGGCATAATGCTTTTTGCAGAAACCTGAAGCACTTTTCCCTTTCAGAATGACATTTCTTCTCCTTTTGGAAGCGTGTCAGCCTCTGATTGCCGGAGTGAAAAATGAGGAGCAAGGAATAGAAAAGCTGATGTGCGGCCCAGACATTTGCCACATCCCCAGCCCACGAGATCTTTCTGGATTTGGTGGTGAGCGACAGGAGGATATGAACTCCATATGAACTCACCAAATGCAGAAACACCTCGTGGGCTGGTTGATGACACATGTTTGAACTGTACGGACTGGGTTTGAATTCTTTGTCCTCAGCAATCATTATTACAAAAGTCTGCAAAAGGAAAAGGAAAAAGGAAAAAGGGGGGGGAGCGGGGGGGGGGAGGAAAAATTGGACAGCACCAGCGCATGGTTTTGGTTTGAGCTTTTTAAATTTTTTATTAAGGGAAGTGGGAATCTGGAGGGGGGAAATGCTGTAATGGCATCATTCAACTTTTCCAACTTGTTTTGAATAAATAAGGCATTGAAATCAATACCAAACGCTGTGGGTTGCCCTGTCTGTATTTCACACTGAGCTAGCTTTGCAATTCATTTTTTTTTTCCAGAGGATTAAACTAAAACAGCTTTAAGGAAAGCTCAGTAGCTGCTCTAACTTCATAATCTCTTAATTATCTTGAAACCCGATTGAATAGTGTTTAATATTCCGGCCTATCTTTGCTTTTGGTTCTCTAGACCATATCGCTCAGCTGGAAGAATAAAAGGCTGAAAAAACTCACTTGCTATCTCAAGTACTTTCCATTGTTGCCAATTCCTGTATCCCTTTCTATACTTCCACACTTGCTTAACTTTACAAATATGAGTAGCCCCGCTGAGCTCAATGGGGCTGTTCTGCTGTGCAGAAATGTAATTTATGTGCAAGGCTGGTTTCAAATTCTGCTTTGGCCACATGGCAAAGCTGCAGCAAATAACCTTACGGTGTTCTGTTGGTATTACCCATTCATTAATGGCAGTTTAAGTCTGCCAACCAGTCTTGGCATTAATTGAAACGAGCACAAATCTTTACAAATGCGGAACACTGTGGAACAGGGTTGTTGGTGACTTGTGGAAGTCACTTGGCAGTTCACCACACCTCAACCGGTGTGATGTATCAGCAGAGTAAAATAGGTACCGCTGTAGCAGGAAGGTAAACAGTGTTTTCATGACCTCTGGCTTCTGTCACAGCGTCCCGTTGTGCCAGAAGCGGTTTAGTCATGCTGGCCACATGACCCCTCTGGAAAGCTGTCTGTGGACAAACGCAATTTCCCTGGCCCTGAAAGCAAGATGAGCATCGCACCCCATAGTCGCCTTTGACTGGATTTAACTGTCCAGGGGTCCTTTACCCTTTACGTTATCAGCAGAGTATGTGGAGCCCCAGCAGAGTCTTCAGTGATTTTCTGCTCCCAGCAGAACAGCTTTTTCCAGAGTCCCTGGTTAAGGGGGAAAGTGCTCTCCCATGCAGTTCACGGTAACAAAGTGTTTATTGTCTCCAGATGCAAGACAAAGCTAAACACTGACATCTACTATATGCAGTTCTTTTGGTCTTTGAAGCAAAGATACATATGCACAGAAAGATCCACTAATGCTATTGCCATGCTAACGTAATGCTGCAGTGTAAAACTCACAGCCCTTTCCCCTGGCTCTCACAGATATCAGGATGTCAGGATGAGACATAATGAAAGCAATGCCATGAAGACTACTTTACCTGTCTCTACATGTAGGCATATTTCCTGAAACAATGAGAGGGTCAGTGGCACAGCAAGGCATACACTTGACCTCGCTGGTGTTGCTATGGCAACCCAGTGCACCTGACACCCTTATTTCAGAACATCCAGATGTGTGTGGGATGAGACGAAGCACTGTCTAATTTAGCCCATTGTTCACATTGCACCAACAAAGGCGGCTACGTGTCTTACTTACAGGTGAGCTTCCCGGGTTTCAGGTAAGGGTCTTTCCCAGTCCTACCTGGAGATGAGAGGAGAGACTTCGTCAGGCAAGGCCCTCTTTCACCTGTCTTGCCCCACCCTCCAGTCTCTGCTTCTCAATTATGTATTGTATTATTTCATGCACTGTGGCTTGCCGTTGTTTTATTGATTGTAGTTTCGAAATTATTTATTGTAATTGTTAAGAGCGGATTTCTGTTTAATTTTCATATGCTGAGATTTAATATTATTCTCTATTATTCTAATGAATGTTGAATGTTACTTGATTTGATGTAGGTTGCGTATTTTGATGAGGCTGCATTTTAAATTGCATTTTAACCTGTTTTTTAAATTGGTTTTCTTTCCTATTATGTTTTTACTGTAATTTTACTGTTGTTAGCCACCCTGAGCCCTGCTCTGGCCGGGGAGGGTGGGGTATAAATAAAATTTATTATTATTATTATTATTATTATTATTATTAAGCTATGTTTTATCACCACATTTTTGTATTGCATTAGATTGTTATAAGGTGCACATTCTTTGTTTCTTAAGCTTGTAAACTGCCTTGGGTATTGTAAGATAAAAATACGGTACACAAATTAAAAATGATGATGAGTGATGATGATGCCAGGGATTGAACCTGGAACCTTCTGCATTCAAAGCAGGTTCTCTACCACTGAGCTGCAGCCTGTCTCTCATAGATCTCTTCCAGACATCCTCTTTAGGATGCATTAATACGATTCGTGCTTATGGCGGTATCAGAACGGTTATACACAATCCCAGTTTCAATACTGTATGCACCTGCAAATGTTTCAGGGCAGATGTACTTATTTGCTTCCCATTGGTGCATGTCCTGTAACACCATTCTACAAATTTCCATGCTACAAATGTTCCGGTGTGTTTGTGTGTGTTGGTCTGGTTTTCATTGTGCTGTAGCACAAGGGGTGCCCCTGGAGATGGCAACAATGTGGTAACAACTAATAAGGTAAAAGGTAAAGGACCCCTGGATGGTTAAGTCCAGTCAAAGGCGATTATGGGGTTGCGGCGCTCATCTATTTATGATAGCCATGTTCAAATATATAAAAGGATGTCACATAGAGGAGGGAGAAAGGTTGTTTTCTGCTGCTCCAGAGAAGCGGACACGGAGCAATGGATCCAAACTACAAGAAAGAAGATTCCACCTAAACATTAGGAAGAACTTCCTGACAGTAAGAGCTGTTCGACAGTGGAATTTGCTGCCAAGGAGTGTGGTGGAGTCTCCTTCTTTGGAGGTCTTAAGCAGAGGCTTGACAACCATATGTCAGGAGTGCTCTGAAGGTGTTTCCTGCTTGGCAGGGGGTTGGACTCGATGGCCCTTGTGGTCTCTTCCAACTCTATGATTCTATGATTCTATGATCTCACTTCAGGCCAAGGGAGCTGGTGTTTGTCTACAAACAGCTTTCCGGGTCATGTGGCCAGTGTCAGGAGCTCAGCCTACACTCGAACCCTGGTAGGACCCTGGCAGAGGCACATGCCTGACTGGCATGTTTTCTCCCTCCTGGTCTTTTGTTCAGGAGCTTCAAAAGCTTTCTTCAGCCTGAACATCACAACGACTGATGCCAGCCGACACCGGCACACTTAGGGATCCGCAGAGTTTGCACATCATGCGTGACAGACCTCAGCAACTCAGCATTTTGGCTAATCTACTTTATTTACATATAAACACACATGGAGCACTGCAACATGGCTCCCTCTCTCTAGCATCAGACAGCAAAGAGAAAAAGAACAAAGGACAGTAGTCCCACTTCACAGAACACAGTAACACAAACATCCTGTCTCCATCACTTCCCACTTTGTGGAGGCAAAACATATACCGTCATGTGAAAGACAACCATCTCATGACTGCTATCATGGAGCAGGAATTCTAACATCCAGCAGGACTAAACTACTTCTGGTGCAATGGGACACCGTGATATAAACCAGAGTGCTGTTTACATTCGCACTGCGGTGGTACCTATTTATCTACTTGCACTGGTGTGCTTTTGAACTGCTAGGTTGGCAGGAGCTGGGACAGAGCAGCGGGAGCTCACTCCGTCACGAGGATTCGAACCGCTGACCTTCTGATCATCAAACCCAAGAAGCTCAGTGGTTTAGACCACAGCGCCACCTAACAACTAATAAAGTGGAAAGACATCTAGAAAGTCCAATATAAATCCACCATAGTGCACTATCAATGACATTTTGCAGGATAGAACAGCAAAAAATGCGCCCATGTGGTGACGAAGTACATAGACTTCATGTGTATCTTCTTGATAATTATGATGATGATGTATGTCTTACTGCGTTTTTACATTTTGTTGGAAGCCGCCCCGAGTGACTGGGGGCAACCCTGTCAGATGGGCGGCATACAAATAATAAAATTATTATTATGATCACTGGTCAGTCCTTACATATTGTGATTTATATTGTTACCTAATGGCTGCTAATCTATTTTCGTTTGCATGTGCATGCTTGTGGGATTGTTTTAAAAAAATGCATACAGTTTGATTTTTAAAAAACCATGAATATTGTTTTTGAAATGAAAAGATCTAAGCACTTCCTGGAACTATGTGTGCTACAGAAGCTCTGTCTGAAGCCTTCCTTCCCAAATACCACAGCACCTGGCTGTTTTCTTACTCAAGCAAAAAATATGCACATTGTTCCCATCTGCTGCTTGTTGGCCACCTAGCAACCCCCACCCCCAGCAACAATGATTTTCACTCCAAACTCAGCTTCTCAGCTTCTCCCAATATCCTTTCCCCCCATCCTCACATTTCCTTTTTTTCATCCCCGTGAACATTTGATTTGCCTGACTTTTGCGCCTTCCCCCCATTTAGATTTATTGTATTTATTTATTAAAATTTCATACTCCCTTTTCGTTGCCACAAAGCAGTTGCTCGATGTTGCTGACAAACGTGAATGCGGCCATAAAAACAACAGTAAAGCACAAATGACTAAACTAAAGGGAAAGGGTTTATTACGAAAATACTATTTCTTACTTTATTGTTATCTTATCTGCTTGGAATGTTATTCTCTTTGGTTCTCTCTTTTTAAAAAATAACCATGGATTGGAGGATTGGGAATGGTTGTGTGACAAGCTTTCACACCTGGTTCCAATATGATGCTTCCGGTGCTTCCTGACAGGGGCTTAATATTCAAAACAAGTCATTCAGATATCACAAATGTGCCATTGGTGAAAGTTTTTTTTTTTTAACTAACCAGATTTTTTGTGAAAAGCATAAATTCAGATTATAGGGGAGGGGAATACAGGGTTGTATCCAACGAAGTTGCATTATTATTATTATTATTATTATTATTATTATTATTTGTTTGTTTATAACATTTCTATATTTTCCTTCATCCGAGGATCACAGGGCAATTTTCAATATGAAGACACCATATATATAGAAGTGAGAGCCGGACCATAAAGAAGGCTGATCACCAAAGAATTGATGCTTTTGAATTATGGCTGCACACATACCAGCTTGTCAACATCCTTCTTAAATTGTGGTGCCCAGAATCGGACACAGTATTCCAGGTGTGGTCTGGCCAAGGCAGAATAGAGTGGCACTATTATTTCCCTGATCACTGCAGATGGTGACAGCAGCCACGAAATTAAAAGACGCCTGCTTCTTGGGAGAAAAGCAATGACAAACCTAGACAGCATCTTAAAATGTAGAGACATCACCTTGCCAACAAAGGTCCGTATAGTAAAAGCTATGGTTTTCCCAGTAGTGATGTATGGAAGTGAAAGCTGGACCATAAAGAAGTCTGATCGCCGAAGAATTGATGCTTTTGAATTATGGTGCCGGAGGAGACTCTTGAGAGTCCCATGGACTGCAAGAAGATCAAACCTATCCAGTCTGAAGGAAATCAGCCCTGAGTGCTCACTATAAGGACAGATCCTGAAACTGAGGCTCCAATACTTTGGCCACCTCATTAGAAGAGAAGACTCCCTGGAAAAGACCCTGATGCTGGGAAAGATGGAGGGCATAAGGAGAAGGGGATGACAGAGGACGAGATGGTTGGATAGCGTTCTCGAAGCTACCAGCATGAGTTTGACCAAACTGCGGGAGGCAGTGGAAGACAGAAGTGCCTGGCGTGCTCTGGTCCATGGAGTCATGAAGAGTCGGACACGACTAAACAACATATATATATTTTTGTGTGTGTGTGTGTGTGTGTGTGTGTGTGTGTGTGTGTGTGTGTGTAAAAGAGCATGAGACAGTTAATCTCTGGGCAAAAGATTTCTTCATTGGAGAGGGTTGGACAAGATAACCCTTGTGGTCCCTTCCAACTCTACAATTCTATGATTCCATGTATTTATGTGGCTTTAGAAATAATTGTTCTACTTAAAAACAATACCTCTCCCGCTCAGAGTTAGCGATGGGGGGGAAAATTCAGTTCGGTTTTCATTTAAAAGTGAACCTACCTAATTTGCACTTTTCAGAACAATGCAAAGAATCAAAACACTGCCATCCTTTGACATTTGAACTTCTCTGAACTTTGCAAAGCATTGTCCAAAAATGCATGTGCTGGAGTAAGTGTGTATAAAAAGGCATAATAATGGTGAAAATCAATTACAGAAATGTGTTGTTTTAGGGGAAAGTGCTTTGCAAAACTGTAGTTTAAGGAAAAGTGCATAAACATTTGTATGGCGCAATAAACTTGCACTAAGATGCTCATGAATTTTCATAGCTTTTAAAATGAAATTCTCAAACTGATGTGGAAAAATAGAGAATTGAGCCTAAGAAGGGAAAAAATAAGAAATTGATAGAAACTGAAGTTGGAAAATTTCTCTAGCCCAGTACATCCATACTTCTTCTTTGGCAATCACTCGTAGCCGAGTAAGATGGTCTTTCATGAACACGGTCTTAACCGTGAGTCTCTAAGTGACTGTGGAGGCGAATTCTGGACCACAACTCTAAGATTCTATGAGTGATTCTGATGAAATCTATGCTATTTTACTGTCATTCACATGGAGCGAAATTGCCCCTTATTAGTTCCAGTTCCTGCCCTTTGCACTCACCTTCTTGAGAGCATTGCTTTAATACTGTTCTGCTTCTGAGGGCAATTCTCGCTCCCCTCCCCGAGCCAAAGTTATAAAAGACTATTGTTTGCTTATGGTGATTTTCCCTATTTGCACACAAGCAATCTTGTAAGCACAGTAACTCTCAGGAGAATCTCTCCCATTTATCTGTGTATGACTTAAACTTTGGAAGCAAAAATCAAGGACAAAAAAGAACCCTCCCCTTCTTTCTGCAGACCTGGCAGTTAAATGTTAAGCTTCTGCTTCTGCATACTGTTCAAATCCACCTATTTAACAGTATTTACTTTCCTGTTCTGTGAGCAGGCTGCCGAATGGTATGTACTGAATCTACTTGCCAATTTTACCTATTTTGACTGGCACAATACCATCTGCCATGCAGTTACTTAGGAAATGGATCTCACAGCCTTGCTACTGTGTGAGTGCTGAATTTTGAATAGTTTAACATTTGGGGATTGAGATGCACTGTGAAAATATTAAAATATCTATTGGGAGATGTCCATATTCTGAGCTGTAGAACTGTTGTAATCTGCCCTGGGTACTCATAGTGAACTGCAGGTAAGAAACCCCCTTCTTCTCTCCATATTATAGAATGGGAAGAATGGCTGGGGATGACTCCAACAAGGTACAGAAAAGCTAGAACGCTTTCTCCCAGAGAAGGGGAACTCTTGTCCTTGTCAGGAGCTCAGCCTACACTCGAGTAGGACCCTGGTAGAGACACATGCCCAACTGGCATGTTCCCTCCCTCCTGGTCGATCATTCGGGAGCTTCATAAGTTTTCTTCAGCCCGAACATCACAGCGACTGATGCCAACCGACACCGGCACACTTAGGGATCCACAGAGTTTGCACAACTTGCGTGACGGACCTCAGCAACTCAGCATTTTAGCTAATCTACTTTATTTACATATAAACACACACGGAGCACTGCAACATGGCTCCCTCTCTCTCTAGCATCAGACAGCAAAGAGAAAAAGAACAAAGGACAATAACACTTGTAACATCCTGTCTCCGTCACTTCCCACTCTGTGGAGTCAAAACATACACCGTCATGTGAAAGACAAAAATCCCATGACTGCAATCATAGATCAGGAATTCTAACAGTCCTACCAGATGTTGCTGAACTACAACTCCCATCAGCCTAAGAAAGCACAGCCAATGGTCAGGTTTGATGGGCGTTGCAATTCAGTAACATCTGGAGAGCAAAAGGCTCCCCAGCCCTGTCCTATCCCAATTCAGATACCATTTACAGCCATATCAGCAGCCGTGAAGAGCTGGAACTTCCTAGTGTTAGCACCCATCCATTTTAGAAAGCCTCTGAGTGAAGTGTCTTCAGGAAAGACCTGGGGAAACAATAATGAGAATACTCTCCTTAATCCCCTAAGAACCCATAATACTATCGCTGCATCATGCTTTGGGAAGGGGTTGTAGCTCAGTGGAACAGCACATAACTTGGATGCAGAAAGCAGGCACACACACACACACACACACACACGGATGTATCCATTTAGTCTTGTCCATTATCTTCAATGAGTTTACTCTGAGTAGGACTCACATTGGAAGCAACCCTGGGCTAAACTGATCTGAAATAATTTTTCCGTCAACTGAAGAATTAGTTGACATTTGAAATCTGTTTAATTAAGCAATTAAGCCCTTGTGACATATGTACCCAACATTCCCATTTTACAGGTGGAAGAGCAGAGGCTGAGAAGAAGTAACATGTCTCAGACCATACAATGAGAGTCCACGGGCAGCATTCAAATAAACATTTGTGCAAGTGGAATGTGTTCCGCATGTGCAATGGGACTTTGTGCTGGTGGAATGTTTGCTTTTGCATTACGTTGAATTCCACCCTGTGTCAAACCCAGGTGGAATTTGAACCGAGGTCTCCCAGTTGCAACAACAGCTTTTGAGTGGCAGGTGTTGTGTTATGCTTCTCCCCGTGTCTTCAAAAGAGCACCTCCTGCGAGATTTTGGCAAACTCTCCCCAAAGAATTTAAGCAATTTAAGCATTCAATCCTTGAGCATCCCTAATTCCTAGCTATGTTTTTAAATCTACAATTTGTCGAGGTCTGCATTTGCTGACATTTTTGTTTTTTTAAAGAAAGAAAGAAACAAACAAACACATATGAAGTAATTTATTTATGAAACCACAGGACTTCATGGGGAATATAACAGCAGGACCATAGTGATTAATGAAGGCAAGACAGCATGTTGCATCCCATCCAAGATGAGTTCTGGGGAGATCTGGTGACTTATTAGCAATATTCTCTAGGGATGCATGGGGCGAGCATAGCAAAGCATCCTTAGGAAGCAAGGCAGCCCAATTTCATAGGTTATTGTCTTTCAAATGCTGCATTTTCGAGTCCTCTTACCAAAGAGGAGTGAGTGTCAATCAGCCTAATTGCTCAGTTCTAATTTAACACAGTGGAGGGGATGCTTCTCCTATCCCTCAAAAGCTGTTGTAATGTCCTCCCCCCATGAGTTCAGAACTTTTGGCTTAACACTTGACGTGGGTGACCTCATCCCAGGGAAGCTTGATAATCTGTAGGGTGGTTGTGGGCCATCAATGCTTTTATGTACTCACTGTCCTTTACAACCTGCTTCAGTGGTTGGGGAATACCACATCAATTGCCATGTAGGGCTTTTGTCTTCATGCTTGTGCACTTTCCAGAGGCAAAAAAAAGAAAGAAAGAAAGAAAGAAAGAAAGAAAGAAAGAAAGAAAAAGCTAATGCTTTTCTAGGCTGCATCAACAGAAACATAGTGTCCAGATCAAGGGAAATAATGTTATTGTTTAGTCGTTTAGTCGTTTAGTCGTTTAGTCTTCGTGACCCCATGGACCAGACCACACGAGGCACTCCTGTCTTCCACTGCCTCCCGCAGTTTGGTCAAACTCATGCTGGTAGCTTCGAGAACACTGTCCAACCATCTCGTCCTCTGTTGTCCCCTTCTCCTTGTGCCCTCCATCTTTCCCAGCATCAGGGTCTTTTCCAGGGAGTCTTCTCTTCTAATGAGGTGGCCAAAGTATTGGAGCCTCAGTTTCAGGATCTGTCCTTATAGTGAGCACTCAGGGCTGATTTCCTTCAGACTGGATAGGTTTGATCTTCTTGCAGTCCATGGGACTCTCAAGAGTCTCCTCCGGCACCATAATTCAAAAGCATCAATTCTTCGGCGATCAGACTTCTTTATGGTCCAGCTTTCACTTCCATACATCACTACTGGGAAAACCATAGCTTTTACTATACGGACCTTTGTTGGCAAGGTGATGTCTCTACATTTTAAGATGCTGTCTAGGTTTGTCATTGCTTTTCTCCCAAGAAGCAGGCGTCTTTTAATTTCGTGGCTGCTGTCACCATCTGCAGTGATCAGGGAAATAATAGTGCCACTCTATTCTGCCTTGGCCAGACCACACCTGGAATACTGTGTCCGATTCTGGGCACCACAATTTAAGAAGGATGTTGACAAGCTGGTATGTGTGCAGAGGAGGGCAACCAAGATGATCAAAGGTCTGGAAACCAAGCCTTATGAGGAGCAGTTGAAGGAGCTGGGTATGTTTCGCCTGGAAAAGAGGAGATTGAGAGGAGATATGAGAGCCGTCTTCTCAAGGTCTGTCACATGGAAGATGGAGCAAGCTTGTTTTCTCCTGCTCCGGAGGGTAGGACCAGGACCAATGGCTTCAAGTTACAAGAAAGGAGATTCCGACTAAACTTCAGGAAGAAATTTCTGACATTAAAACTGTTCAATGGTGGAATGGTGTCCCTCTGGAGGTTGTGGACTTTCCTTCCTTAGAGGTTTTAAAGCAAAGGTTAGATGGCTTTCTGTCATGGATGCTTTAGCTGAGATTCCTGCATTGCAGGGAGCTGGACTAGATGTCGTTTGGCGTCCCTTCCAACTCTCCAGTTCCAAAATTCTATTATTCTATCCGTCAGCTTTGGGAAATGGGTTGCTAGTCTACAGGCTGATGCAACAGGACTGTTCTTAACACAGGACTGCCATAGTCACCTTTAACAGAGACTCTGTATATTTGAAAGCTTCCTAATAGGCTGAAAGAAGAAGAAGAGGAAGAAGAAGAAGAAGAAGACGAAGAGGAGGAGGAGGAGTTTGGATTTGATATCCCACTTTATCACTACCCAAAGGAGTCTCAAAGCGGTTAACATTCTCCTTTCCCTTCCTCCCCCACAATAAACACTCTGTGAGGTGAGTGGGGCTGAGAGACTTCAGAGAAGTGTGACTGGCCCAAGGTCACCCAGCAGCTGCATGTGGAGGAGCGGAGAAGTGAACTCGGTTCACCAGATTACGAGACTACCGGTCTTAACCACTACACCACACTGGGGATAGGTATGTGCGTTGGGGAATCACCTGTTAATATCTGTCTCCCCTGCAGCCATTAAGCTTCCAGGTTACCAGAACCAGAGCCTCCAGGTTAGCTTGAGGTGTTTTTTTTGCTTGTGACTAATATGGAGAGCAATTTTAAAAGAAAGAAGAAAAAGAAGAGAGGAACAAAATTACCCAGCTTTGTGGCATAAAGTATAGCTCTGTGCCTGTTAATTGCTCGTGTACTTTCATTCATTGTGACAGTGTTCTATGATGCATTATCACTTGGGTGGTTTTTATCCCCTCTTAACAGCTTTGGCTTGATTTAATTTTTGTACGTCTCTGCAAATAGGCCCACTGAGCACACAGCACAATACGTGACTAATAGGACCTCTCCCATCTGACTCAAAGTCGCCATGAAGGGAGGGAATCTTTTCTCCTTTGCCATTCCATTTCAGATCACCTCAACCAAGAAGATTCAAAGCCCTTATGCAAAGACCTTAGGGGACGTGAGTCTGAGCACATCGCTCGCTGTCCACCTCCTTGTCTCTGCTTTTACGTAACAGCTACTGTGTCCAAGTGGGAGGATTCCCTTTTAGTTCAGTTTTTGCAAACCGGGTTTCCAGCAGATGTTTAGGATTACAATTCCTATCAACCCCAGCTAGCAAGGGCTGGGGATGGTGGGAGTTGTAGTTCAGAATTCTGAAGAACACCAAGTTGGCAAAACTGGGTCAGCTCCTTTCAGTTCCCATCTTTGAAACTCCTTCTGTTTCTGGTTGCCTGATTTGTATTTATAGCCAGACACAACAAAATGGTACATGTGTGCATTTATTTTACACATACCTTTTGGCTCTGTCCTTGGGATCTGGGGATAACTTCTGCTTTGAAGACCAAAGGAGGGTGGCAACATGCCCTGCTTTACAGTTGTCTATTTGAAGGTCTGTCAGAAGGCCTTCCCATTCTATTTGATGGGATTGTCTGTTCTGAAGGTATCTTAGAGGACTTTTTGAAGGCATCATCTATTGCAGGGATCAGGAATCTGGGGCTCTCCATCATCCTTGACCAATGACCATGCTGGCTGGAGCTGATTAGAGTGGAAATCCAACACCATCTGGAGGGCCACACAGTCCCCAGTCCTCAGCTATTTGAAGAGCTGTCTATTGGAACAGGGAACAAGCTTGTTTTCTCCAGCTCTGGAGGGTAGGACTCGAATCAATGGCTTCAAGTTACAAGGAAGGACATTCCCACTCAACATCAGTAAGAACATTCTGACAGTCAGAGCTGTTTGACAGTGGAACGGTCTCCCTCCGTAGGTTGTGGACTCTCCTTCCTTGGAGGTTTTTAAGCAGAGGTTAGATGGCCATCTGTCATGGATGCTTTAGCTGAGATTTCTGCATCACAGGGGGTTGGACTAGGTCAAGCATAGGCAAACTCAGCCCTCCAGATGTTTTGGGACTACAACTCCCATCATCCCTAGCTAACAGGACAAGTGATCAGGGATGATGGGAGTTGTAGTCCCAAAACATCTGGAGGACTGAGTTTGCCTATGCCTGGACGAGATGAATCTTCGGGTCCCTTCCAACTCTAGGATTCTATGATAATCCAGTTCCAGTTCAAAGATAAAGAACCCTGAGTAGGGAGAGCCGGGGAAGCCTTGAAGTTGCCCATCAATAGTTAATACCTGGACATAGTCAGGAGGGCTTCTCCAGGTGATCTCAGTGATCTGGTTGGTGTGGCAACAGTTCAGTCCGAGCTGAACTATGTAATCCTACTGTTCATTTAGCTCAGCTGTGAGCAGCTCCCTCTCACCTCCGCTGCTACATATAATGGAAAAGCCTGCAGAGTTTGAAGCTCGGAGCAAGCATAACATGGAAGGTTCACATACAAAAAAAAATAAAAAAAATTCTGCAATTATGAAAACCCACATGCAGAAGGAACTAGAGCACGGTGTACTTTTCCTTCCTTTCAATAATACTTCATCACGGCCTTCAGGATATTATCTCACTCAGGGGCCCGAGGAGCAGGACAAAGGAACATTGACATCACAAATCTCTTTAAAGTTCACATTTGGCGGGGAGTAGTCTCCAACATTAATTTGTGCTCGGGGTGTGGGCTTTCAAAGATAAGCCAAGCTCTAAGCCAAAGCAAATGCCTTCATGTTACAGGAATTCAATCCGGCAAAGGAAGAACTCTACAGAGAAATCTGAAGAGAGAAAAGCGCCGAGTGTACGGTTTGGAACACTTTCCTCGTGCCAAGAGACAAGGGCCTGGAAGAAGTCTTTGCTGTATTTATAACTGTTTTGAGTAGCTGTGGTTCTGGCTGAGGGACTGAGGAGCCATCTGTGAGATTCTTACACTTTCCATGCACCTGTTAGAGGTCCAAACAATGATAGCATGTCAGATTTTTATTTTGTTAAGAGCAGGCTTCTTCTTTTTCGTGTGGTGATATTTGAAATTCCAAAAAGTCATACACAAAGCAT